ATGAGCATAGCCTGACTTATCTGTTTTTCATTGATGGTTAGGCCTTTGTAATTTTTAATATCTGTCTCCTTGAGGACATACAATGGTTTCTCTATAAGTGTTGGGTCACAGAATATAAACATCTTTCACCTCAGGACATATGGCTACATTACTGGTCACAGTAATTACACTTATTTAGGCTCCTCAGTGTAGAGAATTCCTCTTGCTCCATTTTTCCCCATTGCCTAACAAGAGTCTGGCACACAGGAGAGGCACTTCATCTGCTAATAGTCACTGAACAAAAAGTAAATGATGCTTGAATTTATAGAAAGTGAGCTAGAAGCAACAGAAATACAAGTATAATACTTGTAAGTGAACCACCAGGAATAGAAGGTCTAGATGTGTGCTATTTAAATGTAAATTAATTATAATAAAATAAAATTAAAATTCAGTTCCTCGGTTATACTAGCCACATTGAAATGCATGATTGCCACATGTGGCTGTTGGCTATTGGCTACCACACCTGGCAGCATATATAGAGAAACTTTCCACCAGGACAGAAAGTACTATTGGACAGTGCTAATAGAACATTGGGTCTTTTCCCTTTCCTCTCTTTCCCTATCTCCCACTCTCCACCTTCCTCAAGCACCTATGACTTGCACAGTACTTTCTCACCAAGCATGCCTTCTTGGGTTGCAATCCTGTAAGTCATAATTTGTCATCTGTTTTTTTTTCATTTTGAAAAATTATGATAAATATACAGAAATCAAATTTACCACTTAAACTATTTTCAAGTGTTCAGTTCAATAGTATTAAGTATTGTACATTCACACTGTTGTACAACTATTACCACCGTCGATCTCCAGAACTTTTTCATCTTCCTCACTGAAAGTCTATAATCATTAAACAATAATGACCCATGTCTCCTTTCCCCCAGCCCCTGACAACTACCATTCTACTTTCCATCTCTATGAATTTGACTACTCTAGATACCTCATATAAGTGGAATCACACAATATTTTTTCTTTTGTATCTGACTTATCCCAGTTAGCAAAATTTCTTTAAGGTTCATCCATGTTATATGATATGTCAGAATTTCATTCATTTTAAAGGTAGAATAATATTCTATTTATGTATATACAACTTAACATAATCAAAGCCATGATTTGTGACTTGTGGTACCAACATTATATGGATCCTGCTGGGTAACTAGTATGCACCATTAGATCTGCAGTCCTGGCCCCTTTCTCAACTTGAAAAGCATACTTGACAACACTGTCACGACTCTGGAAAAACCAACCTTCACTCCCCCTATTAGTTAGCAGTGTGTTTTTCTTTTTCATGTTTTGGGTAGCCATTTCATTTCTAAGACAAGGGAGAGAAAAGAATTCTGAGACTCAGTTTGCAGTTGGGGGAAATGCTATACAAACAGAGTAAGGGTGGGAAAGAACTTTTCTGGAAAACAATGATTCTATTTGGCTTTTTCAAAAGTACATATTACCATAATAAGAATGACTCAGCTGCTAACAAAAATACAGTCACAGAGAAGAACCTGATTGAAGCATAATTGATTATATTGGACAATTACAAATGCCCTTATTAAATAATTGCATTTAAACCACATGATAGTTTTATAACTGATTTATAAAAACAAAATTGTGAAAGTTTAAGTGACATAATTGTTCTCAGTATCACTACAATTTTCAAATGAAGCAATTTAGCCTTAGGAGCAATTTCACTTTTCATTGTGATGTTATTTTGGTGTCAGGCTGCAAGCTTTTGTTCTGCTTGAATTCTAGGAATGAGGATTAACCCTTCCCTCTCCTCGGCTGAGGCAAGATTGTATTTTTCTAATGTATTAGTCCTTCACATTTTGCTATAGACCCAGTAGATTAAAAGAATGATTTGCAGGCCTCCAACCATTTATGTGATTTTCATTTAATGAGAATGTGGTTTCTTCTATATGGATGTAGGAAATAGAATTCTTTCTTAGATTAGGGGTATCTGTGAACTCAGAACAAAAATGGCAAAAACAAAGTATCTTCTATTTTAAGGTATCAAATAATAATAAGACTACAAAGTTTTCTCTAAAAATTACATCCCCACTGGAAATAGTAGGGGAAATGGTCCAGTATCTCTGGTACATTTCCTAGAATGTTAATCAAAAGTCTATATTTTCAGATGCATGAATAAAGGGCCTTAGAACATTCAACAGATAAAAGTCAATACCATTAACATTCCTTTATTTAATTTCTGTGAATTAAATGGCTTTATATAGTTACTGTCTCCATATCACACACAACTCCCAAGGCATGTTCTACACAGGTAATAAGAGCTAAACCTGCTGTATTTCATTTCAGTCTTGTTGATAGCATTTATCAGCAAAATCTGGCTAAAAACAGAATATGCAACTTAAGCCTGATCATAACTGGGCTGTAGAGGAGGAGAGTGGGGGATTATCCAGAGACTGGAGCACAAATATAAGATTGTATTGTCATTGTGTGCTATAGGCCTTTGGCAAACAGTAGTGTAAGCCCCAGCTGACAGGCCTTTTCACAACTGACAGGGGAAAATATGAAATTTAAATTCTTCATGACAGATAAATCTGCTGAATGAAAGGAAGACCAATAGGATAACAGTGGAACAAAAAACATATTGCTTTTGGGTAACTCCCTTAAATCTACCTCTTTTGTAAACATACAAAATAGGCATTCAATGAATATTTTCTAAACTCCTACCTATCAGCTTTGCTAAGCAAGCCGCTAAGTTGGAATGATAAAATAAGCATCTTTTCTTCAGCAGATGAATACAAAGTCTTATAAAACAGGGGTGGCAGATTAAATTTAATATGTGGGCATGAAAGACATTTCCTGAATGACTATCAATTGGAGTGGGTTTCTTGAACCAAAGTTGACATGTTACTATTGTAGAAGGCTTATTAATTGAGATATTAAATTTACCTAATCTACCATGATTGGGATCTTTGTCAAATTAAAAAAAAATATGACTATAAGTAATTGCTCTTTTCTGTCAGTGGGTTGGTCCCAAGTCCATGAAATGTAACCAGAGACCATAGCTTAGGATTAATATCATTGGTCTTTCTATTGGTGATACATACCTTCTACCCTTGTCAAGGGCCCTGGGGCCTCCAGGAGTCTAGTGTTCTTTGCCTTTCCCATGCTCATTTAGTATTGGCATTTTTCCTTAGTATTGGCAAATTCATTCTGGTTGGCTATACTAGTTCTATCCAAGTCCTGTGGCAGCCTCAAATCATGAGATACCATATGAAACTAAGGAAGGTTTCTTGAATAGCTTTTCTAAAATTCTTGCAGCTATTTGGCTATTTATTATATAACCTCACTGCTCTTTTGTATCTCCTGGAGGAAGCCTTCTGAGCAGCACTACTTCTAGGGGGAGGAGAGGGATTAATACAGGCTCCTTTATTAATGAATGGCTGGTCTGCTTTGGCAAATCCCAGGGAAAGTTGATAAATAATGTCTGGTTAAGATAGCCCAAAGCAAGTTTCAGGACCTAAGAGCAGATCCGCCTTGAACTGTCAGTTTCCTTGGTTGCCATGTAATTCATAGCTAATCTCTAGCACAAAAATCAAGGTGAGAATGAGAGACAGTGAGGGGGTGGAGTGGGGGGAAGAACAAGAAGGAAGAGATGGAGGAGGATGAGGTGGTGGTGGAGGAGAAGAAAGAGGAAAAAGAGGAGAAGGAGGAAGAGGAGGAGGAGGAGGAGGAAGAGGAGGAAAGGACAGGGGTAAGGGAGGGAGGGAAAATGGGAAGGAGGAACACAGAAAGAATGAAAGGACGAAAGGAAAAATGAAACAGATAAGGCTGCTGAGGGTCCTTTTTCTCTGAGACTTCAAGCTCTAACCAGTGTGGGTTCTTCCTCCAGCCAGACATTCTCAGAATGACTGGCAGCAGGACTAGGGCACACAGTCTCAGGCCATGGGAGTCTCAGCAGTCACAGAAAGAAGACAATGAGACCCAGAGTTAGAGACTATGAAAAGGAGGGAAAGGAGGAGGTGGGGTGTGTGTGTGTGTGTGTGTGTGTGTGTGTGTGTGTGTGTTTAGGGGGGGTGGAGGGTAAAGGGGAGGAGGAGGGGAGCCAGCCTGGAGTCTGAGAGAAGAATCCAGGCGCCACAATGTGTGTAACAGCTGCCTCAGGTATGCTAGCCAGTCTCAGCTCGTTCCCAGCTCTTTCTGGCAAGCCCGAGGCTCAGGCATGCACACACACACACACACACATACACACACACACACACTCACCGCACACCACACACACAAACACAGAACTGTGTCAGTTGTAAGAAAGTTTTTGGCCTGTCTGCAACAGTGCCTTTCAGATTCTCACAGAAAGACCTAGGCTTGCTGGGCACTGCTTTGCATAATTGTGGTAAAATTGTAAGACCTTGGTAAATAACAAAATCTACTCAAATACAAAGAGATTTAACTTACTCTAAAGATTATTATGTTTTGTCTGCTGGATTAAAATTGCTTCCAAAGTTATTAGAGAAACTCAACATTAGCACTTACCTTTCTCTAAAGAAATAAACCACACACACACACACAAAGGTCCAGCATTATACGGTAATTATCCAAAATGCTACCCCTTGGAATAATAAGGATGCTGTGTGTTTACACTGCATCTTTCTTTTCCAAAGAATTCAAAGAGCTTCACCACCCATATCCCATTATTCCTATCAGCAATCTTCAATGAGCTATGCGGGTGGCAAGGATAATTATCTACATTGCATGGGAGTAACTGAGGCACAGAGGGACTTTCAGGATCACACAGTAAAGATATAGCAATTTTGGAGTTAGCATATAAAATATTAATTATCAAGGATTTTGCTATTTAAATATATGCTCCTCTTTTCCATCATGATTTTCTAAAAAAAACAATTTGCAGGGTTTCCTTTTCTAGGGACTTGTTTCTGACCTCGATTTGGTGTAATCTCTACCTTAGCATTTTTCAGTGTGTTGTAATACTTCATTTCTTTACCTGCCTCTTTCCTGAAGTTATATTCTTCTTGAGGTCTGGGACTTGCTCATCTGTGTATTTTCCAGTGCTTGGAACATGACTGATGCTGCTTAAATGTCTGTTGGTTGAACGAATGGAAAAAAAAAAGAATAAATGAATGAATGGACAATCTTCTAAGAAGAATTCTTGACAAGGGAACAATAAATGAGAATTTGAACTTAAACTAAGTATCTCCCATCTGATTTTATCTTTGCTGTGACAAATATGTCCACCTCACAGGCCTTCCTTTCAAAATCCATTGAATACATTTAGAGCTAATTCCTTCCCTGCCTGGGCTGTTTGGTTTATTGTTTGGAACAATAAACTAAGACTCGTGGAAATACTAGGGCTCCAGATGGTCTATTGTAATTATTTCCCCCATAGCCTTCTTTTTTGATGTCTAAAGGAAAGCATTTAGGTGTAAAGGTTTGGGGAAGTATTAATATATAGTTATTATGCTGTCCCCAAACCCTTTCCTCTGGGTATTGAATTTTAAAGCCAGGTTGTTATTTGGAGTGAGGAGGGGGTGTGGACAATGGAAACAATGATTACTCTTCAAGGAGACTACAAATTTAACTCTCTTTTATACATTTTTTTCAGTGATCAATACAAAAAAAGGCAGGGTAATGTATGTTAATCTTTACCAGATGTACTTTATGTATCCCCTTACATTGGAAGCCTAGCAGGAGTAGAATGTCACAACAGACATTTACTGAAATACCTGGGGAAATGTAACAAAAAGTGTTAGAGGAAAATGGTCTTTCAGCTAAATTACCTAATATATTTGCTAATGGTATCTGATTTAAAAGCCATAAAAATAACAAGTTAAAAGCACATTAGAAGATGTGTTATATTTATAAGTGTTTGTCACCTTGGCAACAAAAGCTATATTCCAAATCTAACACTAGCTATGATGGGCCAAGACCTTTTAAAATTGATAAATACTTTATGGCAATGATCTGCATTCAGCTACTAAATGTGAGAGCTAGAAAAGGGAAGTTCTTCATGGCATAGTAAGTTGTTTGCTAGCTTTCTACTATGGATAAGCTTTTTCTTTCTATTAGCAACTGGTTTATTCTTAACAAGAAAAACAATGTATTTTCAAATAAAGCATAAATCTTAATTATTCATTTTTTGCAATAGCTTGTAGATTCCTAAAGTTAGAGTTTATTTATCAACCTTACACTTCAATTTATCAACCATAGCCTGATTTTTGTTCATGGATGAAATACCAAACGTGCATAATTGACCTTATGGTAAAAAAATTCATTCTCCTAAGTATCTAGATGTCGTTAAATATGGATCGTGCACTAAATAAGTTTTCACATACATTTATCTCCCAAGTGAGATGCATAGGACTGAAAAATTATCTTTTACTACGTCTCACTAAAATTCTGCTTCCTCTTGTTGCATTTAGTGAACATGATGATTAGGTGATGAAACCCATGATATAAAAGGTGGACTGTGGATACACTTGAAATAGCTTTAGAGTTGGACTCTTACTATTTCCCCTAATTTTTAAAGCTCCAATCTGATTTCCAAATCCTATAAAAATAGTTTGAGTTATGTGCCAGTCAAAGATTATAATTCTAAGAGTCTAACTAGATTCCCATGCGGTTGAACCAATTTTTAGAAGTAAACCATGGAAAAGGTCTGGGTAAACACATATTCTCTGTGGGCAGTCGCTGTTCACTTGGAGCTCAGACAAGTTGTCTCTGCAGCCCAGCCAGCTTGGGAAAACTCAAGCCCACACTTGTGATCTGTGATCATGCTCAGCAGGTTCTCAGATAGATCAGCCAGTGGAAGGACCTAAGACCATCACCCACAAGCCACTTTCTCTAACACAAGGTGAGTATTAGAAGAAATTAATAAAAATTCCCTACCACATCTGTCCACACTAAGTATTTCCAGGAAGTATGTTATTCTAAAAAAAATAAAATAGTGCACTAGGAGAATGTTCTGTTAGAGGACAGAATTAGCTTCCAGCTTAGAATTAATAAACAAAAGTACTAGCTTTGAGTTCAGTTATAAACCATGTGAACAGAATTGGCAAATACATTTAAACCTACGTTAACCAGATTTACCTTCCATTGACTGAAGGTCAAGAATTACATGGATTGACATGTATTCCAGTACTTAAACATAATTTTCATCTGATTGATAAATGTAACTAATATTTTGAGATTGTGTTCCAGTTAAATCCCCTTATCAGTAAGCCCCTTGCTTAACTCCTAATGAATCAAACTATCAAGCCATAATTTGTTGACAAACAAAAAACAATTTTTGCCTTAAAATGAATTTTAAATAAGCCTAGATAAAAATTATTGCATCTGGTTTAAAATTCATCACATACCATATTATTTAAAGCAGTGAAAATACAAACACAAGACTATCTATAATCTGAATTTCACCCAATATAGAGAAGTAGGACACTTCATAATAACTATCTTAGCTGACTATCACTCAAATTTCTTCCTTAGGGAATAATAGGCCCATTAGGGAAAAGATTGATTTTTCTCAACTTTATATTTCTCAACTTTATTTCTCAACAGGATATAAAGTAAACACTAAATATTTGTAGAATTGAAAATAAATGTTACATAGATGAACTTCAGTAGGACTATTTTATGCATTAGCCATGATACCTACAAGTTAAGAATGACTATCTACATAAATACATAGCCAAGAGGAGATGTAAGAAGTAGGAGTAAAACAAAATAACATGATCTATTTCCATTTTGTTGATGCTTATGTGTAGACATATTTCCCTTTTATTTTTAAACATATTTTATTGATTTTTAGAGAGGAAGGGAGAGGGAGAAAGAGATAGAAACATCAATGATGGAGAGAATCATTGATCAGCTGCCTCATGCACACCCCATACTGAGGATTGAGCCTGCAACCCAGGCACATGTCCTGACCAGGACTCAAATTGTGACCTCCTGGTTCATAGGTCTACATTAAAAGGGAAATATGTTGCTACGACAGCTGGGTGATATATTTACCTATTAGACTTAGAAAATGAGTAAAAATTAGGAAAGGTGCATGGGGCCACTGGAGTGTAAGTTATAGGTAGAAGTGAGTAGGATACATAGTTAAGTTGGTAGGGTGGGGCTAATTGTAGACAAAGGAAACTAACATTTGAGGAGTACCAGGCCTTGCATTCTGTTTCTCTCCAGTTATTACTCATGACAAGACTGGTCATACCAGGAAGTGGGCATGGACATGATCATCTTTATTTACAAAAGAGAAAGAGTCTCAGGAAATTCAGAAGCCTGACTCAGTGGCTCTTAGCAAGTGCACAGCAAAGATGAGATACAATCCAACATTCTTTCCCCTCCACTATATTGTATTGAGAACCAGGCAGGAGGATATAGAAATTAACTCACATAGTAGCAATGGCATACAAACCAAGTATAGAAAATTCAAATCTAAATAAACAATTTTAAAATACAAATGGCTCAACAGGACCCTTAACTTCCCAGGGATTTTTCTATGTGTGAAATGAGCTACACTATCACATAATCATGCTCTTAGCCTCAACAGGGCGACCTGATTAATTTTCAGTTACAAATTTCAAAGTGGTGCTGATTAAGATTTTGTTGCTTCGGGTGTTACTGTTCATCATTCCAAAAAACCCCAGGTCTGATTTCGAAAGCATAAAATATTCCAAAGGCTGATCTCATTATGGGAATTTAGACATTGTCTTTTATTGGCCATCTGACAAATATGCTGCTACCCGCCTCCCTTTGTGGTTTACATGCTGCTTCCGTGTACACAGTACTGGCATCCCATTCGGAAGTCGATTGTTGTGCTTTGGTTTATGTTTCATACAACAACTGCCTTGAGCCACTTCTGAGAGAGGATAATAATGACAAATTCGAAATTTTCTCTCCAGGAAAGGAGGCTGTGGTGAAAATGTGAGATGACATTTAAGCAACTACCATTAAAGGCCTTTTAATTTCCTGTTGACAAACACGATTTTCCAAATGATTTAGAGTGAAGTTTCTGGGCTGACAGCCATGCAGCCTATCTGGGACTGTGTTTTCTGGTTCTATGAAAATGCTAAGGAAATCTCTCTTCTTCTGTTGCTTATGTTTCAGAGAGAAGCTTACCACCTTGAAAACCACAGTGCTATTTGGCTGGGTTCTGAGTCCTCAGTTTCTATTCTCACCTTCCTCTAGAGTTCCTTGCCCACATCTCCAAGCCCAGGCTCTCCTAATCCCAAGCACCACTTTTGGACTAGAGACAGGAGTGCTATAAGGAGCACTGACTCCTCACTCAGCAGCCTATGTATCATTTCAGGGAAAGGAGCCTAGTTCTTAGGCCCCTGCTCAGTAACCTGGAGTTTTACCTTGCTCAGGTGACTCAGTGTCCACCTCGGTCTCCACTAACTTTAGTAAATGTTTTTCCTGTCTTGGATGCTGCCTATCTTTTCAGCTTGCTCAAAATCCAGCCTCTCTTCAGAGTGGATCTCTGTCGAGGTCTTGTTAACATTTCCTCTCTGACCCCCTATTATACTCAGAGTCTGGGACTTTCCTGGTGCTCAACGCCTGCTTTTCTGCTTGTCTGGATTTTTAGTTTTGTTTTCAATATAATTTAGTACAATGCCCTCATTTTCCAGACAAGACAATAAAAATGTAAGGAAGTTTGGAGATTTGTCCAAGTCTCAACACTAATCACTGGAACTGTTGTCTAATGTTTTTAGATGCCTCCTTTCAAGAGATTTTTATTTAATATGTCAAGAAATCTTATAGAACGTTCTCTCTCTAGCTGAGAACTTGACCATTTATTTCTCAATTTCTATGTTTCACCTCCTTGCCAATTTTAACAGTCCTTTAATTCCTGGGAAAGAATTGTTCACCATTTCCCCCCTAGGCCTTTACCATATTAATAGCCTTTTGAAACATCTATTACATTTGAAAACAACTTATATTAAAATACAAACTCTCAGTGATTTTTAAAAAATCAATACTGTCTTGTGTTTTAAATGCATATATGGGGACTAGAGATATTATATCTTCTACAAATGTTTTCATTTAATAGAATTTATAGTAAGTAAAGCAATAAAGCCCTATC